GGGCAGGAGGAGAAGGGGATGACAGAGGATGAGATGGCTGGATGGCATCACCGACTCAATGGACATTAGTTAGAGTAAGCTCCAGGAGTTGGTGATGGACAGGGAGGCCTGACTTGCTGCAGTCCATGGAGTCACAAAGATTGGATATGACTGATAGACTGAACAACAGAAGTTTCTTCTGTGGTAAAGTGTACATCCTGTCAACTTTCCCGTTTTAACCATTTGAGCGTCCAGTTTGGTGGATGGAACACATGGACGTTGCTGCGCAGCTGCTCCGCCACCCACCTCCAGGACTTGTTCATCCTCCAGACTGGCGCTCTGACCCCGTCAAAGAATAGCTCCCCCCTTTCCCTCCCCTGCTCCCCCCAATCCCACTTTGTGTCTCTGTGACTGCAGCTGTTCCAGGCCCTCATACAAGCAGACTTGAACAGTATTTGTCCTTTCATGACCGGCTTGTTTCACTTAGTATGATGTCTTCAGGGTTCAGCCACATTGTAGTGTATCAGAATTTCCATCCTTTTTAAGGCTGATAAGTATTCTGTTGTATCTACCACATTTTGTTTATACTGTGGACTCTTCAGCTGTATAATAGGTAACAACCTTTTGTTAAGAGCACATACTTGTTTTTATCATTTTTTTCCCCTTTGCACAGTAGGTTTTTGAACATCTATGCCTGCGAATTTTTATGTAGTGAGCCTATTCCCCTTTGATGTTGACACGTAGTTTTCATCCATCTGGGATTTATTTGGAGCACCAGTTGACACTGAACTCAAACCCAGGAAGAATCCAGGGGCCTGGCTTCATCTGTTTTCTTGCTGAGAACATCTTCTATAGGCTCAGTTTTTGCTTCAAACCAAACAGGCAGCTCTTGGCCGGGAGACGAGAAACACTCCCTGTTAGCACGCACACCTTTCATGCTGTTTTTGTCTTCTCTTGATCCTTTTTCCCCCTCTACTTAGTTTAAATGCTTTGTTTATAAAGGGTACTTACTAAGGTGCTTGCATTCCTCTTCAAGGTGAGAAAATATTTTGTAGATCTCTGTAGTTAATACATACAATTTCTTCTGCTATGAGTTATTGATAGTATAGCTGACATTTACCCAGCACCTGCTATGTGCCCTGCCCCTCCCCCATGTATTTACCCAGTTATTTAACCCCACCAACAACCGTGTTTTTCAGGTTGATAGGAAGTACTTTAAGGAGATATTTGGTAGCCAGTACAGTTGAAACCTGCAGCTATTACTCATGTGCTTTAAATGAAAGAAATCTAAAATAGTAGTCATAACACTGTGCTAACTATGTGCTGGGCTTTTTTTTTTTTAAAGGGAGTAACAGGTTTAATCTCAACACCTTGAGGTTGGCACGTTAAAATAAGTTGCATGTTGTTGGGTGACTTTTAAACCCCTTATTTACAGTCTGCTTTTGATGACTCTAGTATTTCTTCCTTAAGGTTGCGTTCTCTCCCCCATCCGGGGAATATATTGATTCCAATTGCAGTAATTAAAACTTGCTTGGGGCACTGTGTGTGAGCTTCACCTTAGCTGCTGCACAGGAGTCTGAACTAAAGCCCCTGTCGGCAGCCAGGCTGACTTGTTTGGGGAGAGAACACACAGCACGGAGTCAGAAGGTGCGGAGGACGTCCGGTCCGTGGGTCTCCTCGGCTCAGTGCTGCCTCCTGGGTTTGCGTCCCGAGAGGACCCCGCCTTTCCTGGGTCTTAACCAGAGAGCTTGGCGTGCAGGCATGGGAACTGCGCATGAGCTTGTTCTGTACCGTGGTGACGAGAGACACACACTGCTGTACAGCTCGGTTTTTTTATTTTAGACCCAGTGATGAAAAGCATCGTGTGAAATGTGCCTCTCTAACCGTATGTAAGAGTTTAGTTTAGTCCAGCGGTGTTTCCTGTGTTCACCTTGTGCTATGACAGGGCTCTGGACCGTTCCCATCTCACAGTCTGACACTCTGCCCTTCAGGCAGCTCCCGTTCCTCTCCACCACACACCTTGTTTTATTTTTTTGAAGTTGTTGACACAGAAGAACACCTAGGAGTGTTCATTTAACAGCTTGTTCGAGAGAGTGTTTCGTATCAGCACCCATCCTTTTTAACTGCTGCGGAAGGCTGTGTTTATGGACGCGGTGTCAGTTGTTACATCAGTTCCTAGTGATGGGTATTTAGGTTTTTTCCGATCTTAGAAACAGTGCCTCTCTGAGGCACTTTTTGCTTTTTGCCTGGACAGGGTAACATGCTTTTGTTTCGTGGTCTCAGCCAAGAGATCGTGTTGCTGGCAGGCGTGTTCCTCACTGCGACTTGCTGATGCTTTGGGTAACAATAACTCAGACATGCTAGGTGCTGCCCCAGTTTAGGCTCCTGTGAGGTCAGCGCTAATTGTGCATAGAGAGAGGAAGTCACTTCCCAAACTCAGGGACATTGAAGGCGGGGCTGGACCACAGAGCTCTCCTCTTAGCCGGGCTGGTGCGGCCTCGGCGCAGCTGCTTTGCTGCCCACTGTGGTTCCTGGTTTTGATGTGTTTTCTTTGTGTACTCATGTACTCAGGTTTGATTTTTCTCTTTGATTTCTATTGGGTGAGTTCTTCCTGATAATTCAATAATTTTAAAAGATTGTTTTAGTTACTTTTATTTGTACAGTTTAAAATATTTTGAAAGACTTCAAAAAATAAATATTTTGTTAGACTTCAGAAAGTTTTTAAAAAATATTTACAGATTACTTCCTTCCAGTATTATTCTCTTCCTCCAGCTCCCTCTGTTAACATCTTTCATAACCGCAGTGTAATTATCAAAACTAGAAAATCAACATTGATGTGATGCTGCTAACTCATCCACAATCCAGATTTGGACTTTTCTGGTATTTCCCTTTTTTTGACCCAAGACTCAGTATTTAACACTTTTTTAAATGTAGCTATACTCTTGCATATTTATTTGTAGGGTGACTAGGTTGTTACATTTCCACACTTTCTTACCTCCTCTTCCTTTCCTTTGTCACCTGCTTTGGACTGGTTGTTACTAAACACTGGGCTTCCCTGGTGGCTAGAGGGTAAAGAACTGCCTGCCATACAGGAGACCGGGGTTCGATCCCTGGGTCAGGAAGATCCCCTGGAGAAGGGAACAGCACCCCGCTCCAGTATTCCTGCCGGGAGAATCCCACAGATGGAGGAGCCTGGCTATAGTCCATGAGGTGCAAGGAGTCAGACACGATTGAGTAGCAATTCCAGTAAACGTTCTGATATTTGCGTCTGTAACGTCATGTGCACTAATGCATGTGATACGCTGTCAGTAAGACAGTTACCTTTTGATTCTGTGATACAAGGGCATCAATGTCTTTTTATCCTTTCCTCCTTTCCATGTATACCTCTCAACTCAATAGTGGTTCTGCTGTGTTAATTTACAGTGTTTACATTCTGTTCTATAGCTATGAGAAAAATCTTTATTTCTACATCTTAAATGGATTAATTGCTCACTGTGAGTCATTGGCTGTACTTTCTGCATTTTTATTGTTTGGCTAAAGCTTATCTCCTAATAGTTAATTCAGGAAAGCTTCACAGGAATGAGATTCTCCCAGGTTCTTATATGTTTAAAAGTGAAAGTCCGCTCAGTTGTGTCCGACTCTTTGTGACCCCATGGACCATACAGTCCATGGAATTCTCCAGGCCAGAATACTGGAACCTTTCCCTTCTCCAGGGGATCTTCCCAACCCAGGGATCCCACAGGTTCTTAACCAGCCGAGCTATCAGGGAAGATTTGTTTTTGCAACGCCATTGGCTGGCAGTGTGGCCACAGCCTCCTGCCCTGAGGGCCCTGTAAGCGGCCCAGTGGTGCACACGTGTCTGTGCCGAGGGCCGAGACTGGCTGTACTCTGTCTGCTTTAAGCGTGTTTTAGTGTGCTCGAACATTTGTTGTTGTTTAGTCACTAAGTCGTGTCTGACTCTTTGCAACCCCGTGGACTGCAGCTCGCCAGGCTTCCCTGTCCTTCACTATCTCCTGGAGTTTGCTTTAACTCATGTCCGTAGAGTCGGTGATGCCATCCAATCACCTCATCCTCTGTCACCCTCTTCTCCGCCTGCCCTCAATCTTTTCCAGCATCAGGATCTTTTCCAGTGAGTTGGCTCTTCTCATCAGGTGGCCAGAGTATCTGGAGCTATTTCTCCACTCTTCCCCAGTATCATATTGGATACCTTTTGACCTGGGGGCGGGGGGTCCATCTTCTGATGCCCTATCTTTTTGCCTTTTCATACTATTCATGAGGTTCTCCTGGCAGGAATACTGGAGTAGGTTGCCATTTTCTCTTCCAATGAACCACGTTTTGTCAGAACTCTCCACCGTGACCCATCCATCTTGGATCGCCCTGCAGGGCATGGCTCATCCCTTCATTGAGTTATGCAAGCCCCTTCGCCATGACACATCTATGATCCATGAAGGGGCTGCTCAGACTCAGCATGATAGAATCCCACCGTGTTCTCTCAGAGTTCTGGAGGCTTTAGGTCCGAAGTCAAGGTGCCATCAGGGTTGGTGTCGGTTGAGACCTCTCTTCTTGCTGACCTCTCCGTGTCCTCCACGGTCTTCCCTCTGTGCAGGCGTGAAAGGGAGCTCTCTGTTGTGACTTCCTTTTCTTGCAAGGACATTAATCCTGTGGAATTAGGGCTCCTCCGTGACCTCACGTAGCCCTGTTCCCTTCCTAGAGGCTTCGCTTCCAGATGCATTCACATGAGGGTTGGGGCTTCAATGTAGGAATTCTGGGAGACACAGCTCAGTCTATAACAAAGGGTAATGTGGAATTTTTTGCCTAAAGGACCAGAGAATTTTTATTTATTTATTTTTTCTTTCTTTGTTTTTTTTGCAGCTAAAATATATGATGTATATCCGTATTTATTGACATGGAAAAGTGTTCACAACATACTGCTGAATGACAAAAAGCAGGTTTATTTATTCTTTTTCTCTTTCTGTAATCCTGTTTACTTCCTCCTCTTTGGTAGTGGTTGTTATTTTAAAACAGATATTTGAATTTTCTGAAATGTCTTTACCATGATTTTCACCTGCTTAGTTTTTTTCTGGGTAAATGTTTTTTGGTCTTTCGTTCATTTTTCCTGTCGCTTCTCTGTCTTCCCTCCCTTTCTCTTGCGGTGTTTGTATACGGCCTTTGGCTGGTCTCTTTGAGTTCCTTCCTCATCCTGGAATGAGGGGAGTTCTTCTGGGCAGCTGTGCGTGTGAGTTTGGGCCGGGCGCGGGTGAAGCGGGTCTGGGCGAAGCTGCTTCTGCGTGGGTCTTTCTGCTCGCCGCCGATGGCAGAGCTGCCCCATCTGACCTTGTGGCCGGTGCTGTCAGGGCGGCTGGGGCTCGGGGAGGGGGGCTTCTCCGCTCTTCTCTGCTCAGACTGGGCTTGTTCCACATGGGGACGCCCTGCTTCGGCTCTTCTCTGGAGACCTGCGTGGCTGGCCTGCGATCTGGAGTCAGCGGTCCCCCGCTTCTTCGTGTCCTCTCTTGTCTTGGGGGGTGGGGGGGTGTTACTGCCCTTGGCAACTTGCCGCAGGTCTCCTCAGCTTCAGGGTGTGTGGGTGCTGCCTTATCGAAGGTAGTTTCCTTTTCTGTGTCTGGTTCTTGTTTTGGGTGTGGCTAGTAAGAGCAGGAGTGTTAAGAGAGGTCTTTGCTCTGCTGTGTGTGTGCTCCTAAGCCAACCTGTAAGACCGTTTCTTAAAGCGCAGATTTCTTTAGTGTACTCCCTGGGTGTGCCCTACCTGTGAAATTAGGAAATGGTTATCATGCTTTTACGGTAACTTTTTTACGATTCTGTGGTAGTGACATGAAGTTTCAGTGAACGCTACATATAGTGAATGTTTTCTTACAGACAGAACCGCCACTGAATACACCAGAAAACCGAGAGTATCTCGCAGAAATTATGTTTGAATCGTTCAACGTCCCAGGACTCTACATTGCGGTTCAGGTAAGAGCAGAGAGGTTTTTATGATTCTCAGGTATCCGCGGCTGTCTCAGAGTGGAGGTGATCCTGAAGGCCCCTGTTGTCAGAGTGCCGCGCATTCTTCCTTTTCTGCACCCTCCACACACACACGCGCCCACATATACAAACCGACAGACTGAAACACACACATACAAACACACACACGGTGTTTGGGTTTGAACTCAAACGCTGTGCGAACATGTTCTGTGATCTGTGTTTTTATTGCTGGTATGGAGTTGTCCAGCTTTTGTCTTTTCACATGCGTTAGCATCTCAGGTATTCTTTGTGATAAACTCGAGACAATGGTTCTTTTTTGGCTTCTTCCACTTCTGATCATAAAAAGGAAAAGATGCTCTAGAATCTGCTGAAAAACAAAACAAGGGCCCCTAGAGGNGTGTTAGTATACTGTAATGGTCTTTATCTTTCTGGCTTACTTCGCTCTGTATAATGGGCTCCAGTTTCATCCATCTCATTAGAAGTGATTCAAATGAATTCTTTTTAATGGCTGATGCCACTCTTATATAAAGGAACTGACTGAGATTTTTGGGAATACATTTTTAAAAAGTGTCTTCCAAAATATTTTCTGCATACTCTGGTTCTTCACTTCTAAGAAAAAGGAGGAGGAGTTACATGGAAAATTAATCTTGGAGATAGCACATGCCATGGCCTCTGGTGGTTCTCACCAGCTTTTCTTTGCAAGACTCTGGTTTATTTTGCGGAAAGCTTGACTCCTCAGGTGATGCCTATAGAATTTTCATGTTAGTCCAAATTAGGGTTTGAATTCTGGGGGGAAGATGGAGGGTGGGGAAGGGAAGAAGTTACTCAGGCTTGGTGAGTAAGAGAAGGCTTGACTGACCTGAGAACCTTGGGTCGTTGGGAAGCGTCTCCCCGAGGCTCACGGCCTCCGTGTCTCCCGTGCAGGCAGTGCTGGCCCTGGCCGCCTCGTGGACATCACGACAGGTGGGCGAACGCACGTTAACGGGGATCGTCATCGACAGCGGGGACGGGGTCACCCATGCCATCCCAGTGGTAAGCAGCATATTCAGGGCTTTGCTCTGCGGGCCTCACCCGATCTGAGGTGAGGGAAGAGACGAAGGGAAAACACCCTTCTGTACTTAAGACACCACTTTAGAAGACATGGCTGTACTCAGCAAAGGTAACAGTTTTAAACCCAGGACTGTGAGAAAGAAGACGATGCCCAGTGTCTGGTGCTGGCGGTCTGAGATCCTCAGTGGGGGGTTCCTGCAGTCAGAGTGTCAGCAGTGGTTTGGGGTCTCCTGGGCTCCACATGATCCCGGGGTACATCACCAGGGGGTCTTCCTGGCTCATGTTCTGAGCTGTCTGCTTGGGTATCAGTAGCTCAGGATGACCTCTTTGCTCTGTGACAAGAGGTGGGTAGCTTGACCCAGCTCTTGCTTTAGAGGAATTGCTTCTTGCTTCTTATTTAAGAGCCAAGAAAGGGAGATTCCCTGGTGGTTCAGATGGTAAAGAACCTATCTGCAGTGCAGGAGACCGAGGTTTGATCCCTGGGTTGGAAAGATTCCCTGGAGAATGGAACGGCATCACACTCCAGTATTTTGCTTGCAGAATCCCACGGGCAGAGGAAATACAGTCCATAGAGTTGCAGAGTTGGGCATGACTGATTTTCACTTTCAAGGGAGGATTGTTTGTTTTGGCCTGCAGAATACCCTACAATGTTATTTTTTGGTTTTAGGTTTCTGAGTATTAGAGAAGTGATTTCTTAATTCAGGCTTCAAGAGATAGTATCTGTTTTTTCTTTCCATCCAGTGGATTAAGTTAACTGTTTGAAAGTGAAAGTCACTTAGTCGTGTCCAACTCCATGACCCCCATGGACTATACAGTCCATAGAATTCTCCAGGCCAGAATACTGGAGTGGGTATCTGTTCCCTTCTCCAAGGGGGATCTTGCTGACCCAGGGATTGAACCCAGGTCTCCCGCGTTGCAGGCAGTTCTTTACCAGCTGAACCACCAGGGAAGCAAATTATTTCAAGTTTGCTTTTTTAAAGATGAGTCGAAGCTGCCTGCAGGGGGCGCACCGTGGACAGGCAGACCCCCTCCTCTTCCTCCTCTTCCTCCTCCAGACTCAGATTCAACCCTGTTACTAGTTATCAATGGTTACTGCAAGTGTGTTTTCTGCATATATGGGTGTGTGTGTGTGTGTGTGTAACTCCTTTTAAAAATGCAAACTGGGTGGTGGTGGTTGTTTTTTTAAAGCAATTCATTTAATTGAAAAAATAGTCACGATTTTATTTCAGGCAGTCGAGGAGTGATATACTGACATGCTCAGGCGTTAATTCCTGGAAGGCCAGTGTTCACTGCAGGGGAAAGTTCCTGTGTCCACAGTCAGGAGGATAAAGCCACATTCCTCCCCCCTGCCCCCCTGCCCGCGTGCCGCCTGCCCTGGGGGGTGAGAGACAGGGCAGAGCCTTCTCTGTGCCGGCGGAGTGCCCTCCGCTGGGGCCTGAGCCCTCCCCGCTCTTGAGGGCCATGCCCAGCGTTGGAGGCCCTTGCGGTTACTGCTGAGGGCTGGCCTCTGTGCTGAGGTCGTGCCCACAGAGGCAGGGCAGACCTGGGTCTGGGCAGCGCCCTGCTGTTTGCCTCCCTCTTGCATCTGGTTGAGGAGGAGAAAAGAAAAATTCTACTTGGTGTTCAGGCCCACAGGGAAAGCTGCTGTTCAGCTTTTTATCTGTTTCTTAGTTCCATTATTTTCCTGATTATAAAAATGACATTTTTTGAACAAAATCAGGACAAAATAGAGAAGAAAATAAAAAGACCTGTAATACCCACCCAGAGGACTGCATTATGCTTTTGGTTATATATCTTTTCTAATCTCTTAAATACATGTGTACATATTTTAAGCGGAATTAGAGTATTCTGTGTCTGAAATTGTATTCTGATTGTACAGTATAATCCTAAATTTATATTTTGCATATTGGTTTATCCCTAGTATATGGTTAAATATTCTGTGAAAAAAATAGTCACTACATAATAGTCCATCCTCTGGGTATAGCATCACTCATTTATTTTCCTGTTGTTGGTTTGTGGGGTGTTTTAATATATTTAATGCTGTGATGAAGCTGATTGAACACTGGTTGAATTCATTTTAGAATGTGTTATATATAAAGCATAGATGGTAAAGAATCTGCTGCAGTGTGGGAGACCTGGGTTTGATCCCTATGTCAGGAAGATCCCCTGGAGAAGGGAATAGCAACCCACTCCAGTATTCTTGCCTGGAGAATTCTGTGGACAGAGGAGCCTGGCTGGTTACAAAGACTGGGTGACTAATGCAAGGCACAGAATATAAAAATTGTGAGTGATTTGTGTCAGAGCTCATATTCTTATGAGTGTTTATGTTGATCTTTTATTATTTTAATAATTGGTTTATATTTTTTATCTTGATCTTAAAATATTTAATAAATGGCTTGGACTTTTTGGAAAGGCCACAGCTTCTCTGCTAGACGGAGTTACATCAGAAGAAACCCCAAGAGGAATTCTTGGGGTTGGTGTATTTAAGAGCTTAGAAAGATATATAACCAAAAGCATAATGCAGGGACTTGTTCCTGCAACTTAACTGGTGATGGGGTCTGTGCTTACAGTTGTTAGGACTGACACGCCGTAACTCGGAGCCACCTCTGTCCGCTCTGTCTCAGGGGCACGTGGCCCAGGAGACAGGACTTCATGGGAGACTGTGAGGGTCCCTTCTTCACTCGAGGAAGCTGGGGTCGGGCTCCTCGCTGACCGTCAGCTCCTGGAGCGAGCTGGAGGTGCCCAGCCTGGCTTGTGTGGCGGCTGTGCCCGCAAGGGCAGTGGGCGGGGGCGCCGGGCTGCAGCTCCTTGCTGGCACCGGCGGAGGACGGCCCAGCCCCTTCCAGCGTGGTCCCCATGGCAGAGCGCTCAGGGGGCTGACCAGGCATCCCCGAGCAGTGCCGCTCACTGCACGGCGGAGGGGACCGCTTACTGGGAGCTCGCTACCTGCACAGGACAGGGCTGGGTGCTGGACTCGCCCATGAAGGCTGTACCACCACCATCAGCCCCATCTGCCCCACAGAACGGATGAAGGCGCCGCAGCTGAAACGTGTTGCCAGCATCCACGGGCCCTCAGCCCACACCAGTGGAACCGGACTGAGTCCAGGTTGTTGGAACCTGCGTCCTGCCCGATAACCAGCTTGCTGACTTTCTCTCCAGGTCCATTTCTAGTTGCTGTAACAGTTATGAATAAAACCTTTTCCTTTTCGTTAGAGGAACAAAAGGAGGATTCATCCGTTGTTCTGACAGGCAGCCGTACTTTCTGGAAATGACTGTTTTACAGGGTTTTCTCTTCACATTCTTGACGAGAACGTCAGGTTCTGCTAAGGGAACTGCGCTTGCTTCCAGGCCCGAGCGAGCCCTCCGCAGCAGAGTGTGGCTGCCGGAAACGCCATGGTGTCCGGCGGGGCGGGGCTGGGGCAGGGCTGACTCGGCGCTGGGAGCCCATGCCTCCTGGACTCACTCACAGGCCTCCCCTCCTCTCCTTCCCCAGGCAGAAGGCTACGTGATTGGGAGCTGCATCAAGCACATCCCCATCGCAGGGCGGGATATCACCTATTTCATCCAGCAGCTGCTGCGGGAGCGGGAGGCGGGGATCCCCCCGGAGCAGTCGCTGGAGACCGCCAAAGCCATCAAGGTAGAGACAGCCGGGGGCAGGCCGGTCTGGGGGCAGAGAAGTGGTGTTTGGAGGCTTCCCTTGCTGCCACCGCCTCCCTGCCCCTGGCTTCATTGTCCTTCCTGCTCCCTCCCCGAGAACGTGGGTCTCCATCCGTTTATGCTTGCAGGGGTGCCCGCTGTTAATGAGAGCAGCTTGGTGGCTGGGGTTGAGCACTGGCCCCAGTCCAGCAGCATTTCAAGGAGCCTAATTGTTAGAACTTCAGTTAGCTGGGAGTGTCTGCCTCCCCTCCCTCCAAGTTCATCTCTAGCTTCCGGAGCAGCAGCAGCAGCAGCAGTGATATCAGGGGTCTGGTGAAGTCAGCCAGCGTTCAGACGCATTTCTAGCACCTGTAGAGTGTGGTTCTGGGCCCTGTGAATTATAGTGCAGAGTAATGCTGTTCCAGGATGGGTTCATTGATCAGACCCCCCCACCCCGCCCCCTGTCGTTTCTAGACTGTAATGACCATGCTGGAAAGGTTAGAGGGTTTTAAGATCAAATCAGTAAGATGAGAAGAAAAACATCTTACCAGTCCTTTCTAAAAGTGCCCGCTTGACCCGGCCCATCAGTCTGGTCTTTGTGTTTCTCTGTATGTAGCAGCTGACAGACCCTTTTTAAAGGAGCTTTCTTTTCAGGTTGAAAATCAGGACAGATTACTGAAGATCAGGACACATTACTGTTTTTCACTTTAGCCAAAATGCAAGAGAGTCTTCATAACACAAGGGTGATTATTATATAGATGAAGAGCAAGGCTTTCGTTGTTTAAGGAGAAGCATTTAAGTGTGGGCGTGACAGGGGGCCTTGGGCATCCCCCCTTCTCATAGAGCACACAGCGTCTGAACCTCAGGGGCTTTAGCTTCCCCCGCCTGCCCCCCACTAAGCACCCAGTGAGGGGCTTGAAGGAAAGGGAGCATGGGGCATGCCCTCGATTCCCCACCCTTGGTGAGCACAGGTGTTCTGGGGCTGGGGCTCCTGCGAGGAGGGGCCCCGGCTGCCCTGGGTGTCCAGGATGGGAGCTTCCAGGGAGGGGGCGCCTCAGAGCCAAGCTTGCAGCCCCGGCCCAACCCCAGATCTGCCCTCTCCCCCTGGGAAGGTCACGGGAGCGTCCTTTTAGACTGAAACCTCCCCCATTTGCCCTCCCTTCCTTGCCTTTATTTTTGTCTCCTCCCCGCCCTGCCCCTTCTGACCGGCCCTCGGGCTGGACGTGGGGGAGCGGAGCCCTGAGCGGTGACCGAGGGGCTGCTTTCCAGGTCCCCGTGGTACCCTTTCCTTTGTCGCGGGCTCTCTGGGGCCCCGGTGGTGACTCTGAACCTGAATCTGGTGCGTTCAGGCCGCTCAGCGTGTGGCTCAGCTCTGAGGTGGGGGGTGAGAGAGACCCCTGTCCCTTCAGCCAGCTGCCCGGCCTGCGGTTAGTCCTCCCCTCACTCCCCTGAGACCAGGGTGGGTGCGTCCTGGAAAGGTGGTGGGGCCCCTGCACCCCACAGGGGTGGTTTCTGCTGGCCTGAGGCTGGTGGGCCTGGCACTCATGGTCCTGGCAGCCCACGTTGCCCACAGGAAGCTTATTTCAGGATCTGGTACCCAAGAGCCACCTGCTGCTCTGCTGAGGTCAGCTCTCAGGACAGGTGATGGACTGGAGATCCCCAGGGGGGCATCAGCAGATGCCACGTCTCAGGCTGGTGCTGGTGCTGGGGTGAAAACCAGGAGCAGGTTCTCAGGCCGCAGTGCACGGCCGCTCCATCCTGCCTGTCGGCCTCTTCTGTCAGTGGTGCCTGGCACCTTATACCGTGCCCTGTCATCTGCTTATTCGTCACGGCCGTTGCTTATGCTCCTGACTCTCCGCTGGAGTGTGCGCTCAGCGGGCAGGGGTGTGTTTTTGTTGTGAGTCCTGTGTGTCTGTTTCGTGGAGCTGGTGGCCGTGCCGTGTCAGACTGCACAGCAGGTTCACGACCTGTGGTCACCCGTGTCCGGCATGGGGTAGAGTCGGCTGCGTTCTGCGTGGGGCTGCAGCGCAGGTTTGCTGGTCCTGGTGGACAGCCACGAGTGCCCGGGCAGGCGCCACGTGGGGCCACGAGGAATAAGGAGACCGCAGGTGGAGACAGGATACTTAGTGCATGCTGTCAGACAGTACTTCAGCTGATGAGCAGCAGAATATGACAGGGGAAGGCTGAGATTAATAGCCGAGCTGCAAAGCAAGCAGGTTCACTCTCAGTCCAGAGTGAAGTCATGAGAAGTCTGTGAGGCTTGACCATGTCCGCACTGGAGTTGTGATGAGCGGGCAGAACTGGTCTTGGGGTGTCCAGGGCTGGAGGTTACTGGGTCTCGGTCAGAGGCAGACCCTGGTGACTTCTGTGTGTGTGTATCTGCAGGAGAAATACTGCTACATCTGCCCTGACATAGTCAAGGAGTTTGCCAAGTACGACGTGGATCCTCGGAAGTGGATCAAACAGTACACGGGGATCAACGCCATCAACCAGAAGAAGTTCGTCATAGATGTCGGCTACGAAAGGTTCCTGGGCCCTGAGATTTTCTTTCACCCGGAGGTAAAGCTGCGGGCTTTTTGAGTGACGTCCGTCGCGTGTGGTGGAGCGATGCTGCCCCCTGGTGTACGTGGGCAGCGGTCCTCGGGCCGCCTTCTTGTGAGGACTGCTGGGCGCCCGCCGTACGCTCTGCAGCTAGCCATCACCCTGTGTGATCACCTGCTTGACTGTTGCCCTCTTTAGACCTGGCTTTCTGTTAAAAAACAGCTAACGAGTGATCAGGAAGACGCTTTGAGAGCAGTGGAGGGTAATGGAAATGGAGTGGCTCTCATAGTAACTGGAAAACTAGTTAATCCTGGCAGACCATCAGTGTGGGCGCAGGAGGGCACGTGACCTTCCCATTCTTTGTGACGGCCCGTCCCAACTCCAGTTCTGAACCCTGGACGGTGGGTCCTGCCGTGTTTCCTGCTGCAAGTTAGTCAGAGCTCCTGTCTGAGCAGCAGCCTTTCCGTCAGTTAGACGGGCTTTAGGAGGTCCAGGCCTCACCGTGTTAACTATGGTCACAGAGAGTTATTACTCTTACAGATAAAGTAATGAAGGGGCAACATTTTAAGGTTAAATAAAATGGGTTGTATTTGTATTTTGGTTTATTTTTCTAATTCAGCTTGCATTTGCTAGGTAGGTTACACGCTGCTGCCTGATTCCAGGTATGTGTGAGCTTTTGTGCAGGGAGATGGCTCACAGTGTTGCCTCGCCACAATCTAACACTCACTCGTGCCCTCTGATATTAAAGATTTAAAACAGACGTAAAACCAACCATGACCAGTGAACAGCACCCAGTGAGCACCCGGATGTTACCTTCTTGAGTCCGTTAAAGGTGTCCTTGATTTTTAAAGCATAGTTCAAATTTTAAAAATCAAATTCTTTTACACTTTACCTCATTTGACTTACAGCACTGAACTGAAGACTGTTTAGTCAGTGACGTGACCGTCACTGTGTTGTTTCATTTAAAGGCCGCCCCCCGAACCGTCCCCGCTTGCACCCCCACCAGGTTTCTGGCTCAGGTTTACAGTGTGATTGTTCATTGTCTGTTTTCTCTTGCATCCTGGCTAATTTTTACATGACATTAATACTCATAAGTGATATACTTGTTCTATACCCACAGTGTTTCCATAACATCACACACACGTGATTTACAGCCTCAGACAGCAGCATTCCTGGTGTGTCCTGACGCAGGGTTGGGCGCTCTTGGCTCCTGTGTGATGTTTTCCCCTCACTGAGCCCACACATGTTGCCGGGACGTGTCACCATCACCCCATGCACACTCACTTGGGTTCGCTTGACATACTAACATTTGACGTGGTCATTCCAGCCTGACTGCTTTAAAAGTTACAGTACATTCTGTATTTATTAAAGTCACTTAAAAAAAATTATTGAGAGAAGTATGTAATGTTTCTTTTATATTTGTACAAAATTCAGTTTGCCAACCCGGATTTCATGGAGTCCATCTCGGAGGTGGTTGATGAAGTCATACAGAACTGCCCCATCGACGTTCGCCGTCCGCTGTATAAGGTATAAGCTGCCTGGGTGAGGTGCCTGGGTTTCATCCCACAGTCTAAGGCCCAGCATTCTTAGAAGAATAGGTTCTTAACATCAGTGTGCAGTCGTTCCTGTCTCACCCCGGTCTTGTAGGATTTGTTAAAGGCCAGCATACTGGTGAAATGTTCTTCTTGGAGTGGCTGTGATGTAAATGTTTGGAAATAGGGCTCAGTTAACCAGAAGTCTTTTAAGTATTCTTGTATCTTTATTCTTATCTGGCCAGCTGTATTTTAAATTGGACAATTTTAACCCTGCATAGTGACCAAAAGATAAAGGCAGCCCTTCCCCGCCTGCTCTCCATGAATTCGCTGGTCTTGCTTCACGAATGTTTAGGTTTGCACCACATGCGCTGTTGCCGGAAGGAAGTCAGATCCTGAATGAAGCATCAGGTGGAAGATACCCATGTAATAATGTTTTCCAAAATTCTGTGTGACTAGGGAGTTTTGAAACCTGAGATGAGAAAAGGCTAGTCTGTGTATTTACAGCATAAAAGATGCTGCTGACAGCTGGATGTTGAGAGCAGGAAGTGGCGGTCAGTGGCCCTCCTTCACCCGTGGCTGTTCTCTGCCTCGCGCTCTCAGCCCGCAGCCTCTGCCAAGTCTGACCTTCTCAGCTCGGGGAGCTGAGCTTAGAGGGGACCATCAGGCCCAGCAGTGAGGGCATACACAGTAGAGTCCTGTGCAGTCTTCAAAAAGAATGAGGTGAATCAATGTAAATTCAAATGAAGAGATGTTATAGTACATGTTAAGTGAAAAGGCAAATTGTAAAACTTATATATACTATTATTTGATTTAATTTAAAATGTAGTTTGTGTATGTTATATACATACATACATATATATTTGAAAAGGTTTTGAATGATATATGCCAAACTCAAAGAAAATATCTTTGGGGTTTGGAGATGGATAAATTTTACTTTCTACTTTTTGTGTTTTAAAATTATTTGAAATTTTATAGTTAACAAATATTATTTTTATTATAGGAACATTTTCCTATGTAGACAACTTTTTATGGGTGAAAACAAATTATAATTTGGTTTTTATAGTTCAGTTCAGTTCAATCGCTCAGTCATGTCCGACTATTTGCGACCCCATGGACTGCAGCACGCCAGGCTTCCCTGTCCATCACCCACTCCCAGAGCTTACTCAAACTCATTTCCGTTGAGTCCAACCATCTCATTCTCTGTTGTCATAAGTGATACACCACAGTTCAAAAGCATCAATACTTCAGTGCTCAGCTTTCTCTATGGTCCAACTCTCACATCCATGCATGACTACTGGAAAAACGATAGCTTTGACTAGACTTTGTCGGCAAAGTAATGTCTCTGCTTTTTAATATGCCATCTAGGTTGGTCATAGCTTTTCTTCAAAAGAGCAAGCGTCTTTCAGTTTCATCACTGCAGTCACCATCTGCAGTGATCTTGGAGCCCAAGAAAATAAAGTCTCTGTTTCCACTGTTTCACCATCTATTTGCCATGAATTGATGGGACCAGATGCCATGGTCTTCTTTTTTAGAATGTTGAGTTTTAAGCCAGCTTTTTCACTCGCCTCTTTCACTGTCATCAAGTGGCTCTTTAGTTCCTCTTCGCTTTCTGCCATAAGGGTGGTGTCATCTGCATATCTGAGGCTATTGATATTTCTCCCAGCAATCCTGGTTCCAGCTTGTGCTTCATCCAGCCCAGCATTTTGCATGATGTACTCTGCACAGAAGTTAAATAAGCAAGGTAACAATATACAGCCTTGACGTACTCCTTTCCCAACTTGGAACCAGTCCACTGTTCCATGTCTAGTTTTAACTGTTGCTTCTTGACCTGCATACAGATTTCTCAGGAGGCAGAACAATTATACTAAAAAAATTCTCGCACTGTTAAGAAAGTTCTAGGACCCACAACAGATTTCCCAACCTGGGGATTCGGCAAAGGGACTGAGAACCCTCAGGGAATTTGACTTTGGAGGCCTGTGGGATTTGATTTTTATTGTTACATGTGCTTAATTAAACATCTCTCCTCCAATAAAATGTGCAAGAAAGGGAAACTAGGGACAGAGGAGAGTATTAAAGTTTAGTAAAATTCATGCTTTGTTCTCTTTACTTCTTAAATCTCACCTGACATTAGCTGTGTCTTGTCCGTGAAAACATGGAACAGTTGTGCTCTCTTTAGTCTCCATTTCATTGTAATGGAAACGAAGGTTCATGATGGGGTGAGATTTTTCTCATTAGACAGCTGAGTTCACTTTCAGTAGTATTATAGGAAGTAGAGATGGCCTGGTAGCCTGAGCTCCTTACTTAATAGAGGACGACCCTCAGCCCCAGAACTAGATGGACCTAGGGGAAATGGAGCAATTGGTCTTGGACTTGTAGTTATTATAAAATACTGGCTATATTCCCTGAGTTGTACAGTATATCTTTGTAGTTTATTTATTTCATGCAGAATAGTTTGTATCTCTCAATCCCCTACTCGTATCTGGCCTCTTCCCCCTGACCCTACTGGTAACCACTGATTGTTCTCCATGAAAAATGAAGGTTGCTTAGTTGTGTCTGACTCTTTGGGACTCCGTGCACTATTCATTCCATGGACTTTTCCAGGCCAGAATACTGGAGTGGGTAGCTGTTCTCTTCTCCAGGGGTGTCAGGGAGTGTTTGACGGGAGGATTCCTACGTGCTGTCTCTCATGAGTCCTTTGTTCCTCTTCAAGCGGAGCAGCACGCTGTTCCCGGGGACTGAGGCCATTGTGTGAGGCAGGCTTGGGTCTCCTTTGGTAAACATTCTCTTTACAACAAAACTGCTTAGTCTCGCTCCCCTTTCTGGAGATATGGATTGTCCCCTGACCTTGTGACTATTATTACCCCTTGTTCCCTTGGTAACGGTGGCTGTACGNCTGTCTCTCATGAGTCCTTTGTTCCTCTTCAAGCGGAGCAGCACGCTGTTCCCGGGGACTGAGGCCATTGTGTGAGGCAGGCTTGGGTCTCCTTTGGTAAACATTCTCTTTACAACAAAACTGCTTAGTCTCGCTCCCCTTTCTGGAGATATGGATTGTCTCCTGACCTTGTGACTATTATTACCCCTTGTTCCCTTGGTAACGGTGGCTGTACGTTTGGTTTTCTGATCTCTATCATTGCCGAAAGAAATTTCTTGTACCACAGACTATATATACTGGTAGAAAAATCATTAAAGCACCTGTGCTCCATCAGATCTTAGGTCCCTGTGTCTTTTTTGTTTCTCTTTCTCTCCTCTCTCTCTCTCTCTGGCTGATTCTCTGGAGCGTGGAGACCTGTCGTGTTCACTTTCCTGCCTGGGCTTCTAAGACCCTCTCGAGAAGGCACTTTGTGCCTTCACCCCTTCGAGGGGGCGCCTGGTGCCCTCGTGAGCGATGCAAGTCCTGTGTCAAGGGCTTTATTGGTCCTCTGCGTAAACCAGGGAATATCAGCCTCTTTCTCTCTCTTACTTTCTTATCGTCGACTCCGTACCACCAGGTTCCGGTCCATTAAAGGACCTCAGCACAGGGGATCTTCCCAACCCAGAGATTGAACCCAGGTCTCCCACATTGCAAGAGGATTCTTTACCAGCTGAGCCACCAGGGAAGCAGATTGTTCTTTATAGCTGTGTCTTATTTCTTTTTTGTATGTTCATTCGTTTCTTTTTTATATTCCATATATGTGATATCATACAGTGTTTTTTTCTGCCTTATCCCCCTAGCCTAATGCCCTCCAGGTCCATCCATGTTGCTGCAAATGGCATTATTTCATTCATTTTATGTCTGAGTAACATTTCATTGTATATATGTACCACATCTTCTTTATCCATTCATCTGTTGATGGGCACTTAAGATTGCTTCCACATCTTGGCAGTTATAAATAATGTTGTGAACATAGGGGTGCTTGTATATTTTGAGTTACTGTGGTTTTCAGGCTTCTCTATCCCTGAGACCGTGGCCCCCACTGGCCGCTGCTCTGCCCGTTGTCTCTGGAGGCCGTCACCCCGGGTTATAGGCCCTTGGGCGGGCAGCCTTGTTCTTCAGATTCACTTTGTACTTGTGGTCCCACTTCTATGGTGAGCTCCTCCTCGTGAGTGTGGACGTGAGCTTGCTATGGACCGAACCTTCCACCGTGACGTCTGTGCTCATGAAATGCATGGATGTACGGTCGGTGGGATTTTACAAGTAACTCTAAAGCCCTCTTCTGGTTAGAGACATGGTACATACAAGTGCTTCTGCAGAACACACGGGCATCTTGCTCCAGAGAGCTGAGTGGGCATGTCTTTGGGATCATGTCTTTCTCTCCAGTCTTACTGTCATTCTCTTCTCTGTTGCTGACGCTTCTTCCTGCCTGCTGGGCCCTCTCTTGTCAGTGTCCCAGGCACCTGCCTTGGGGCTTCCAAAGTGCTCAGTAAACCATCCAGGAAGTGGGAAGCAGGTTTTCACCCACACAAGCTCACGATTGCTGTCTGCTGAGCCCTCTTGAGTTACCCACTCACGCACGAGGCCCTGCAGTAGGCTGGGTTCCTGACTTCTACCTTCATGCACAGTCCCTCCAGTCCCCAAGGCTCAGACGGGCAGCTCTGGTGGTAGAGAGGGCTATAGGGGAACCTGCAGGGAAGGCTCTGAGGCAGCTCCCTGGGGCCCTGAGGCCTGCCCTTGGCTTCAGAGGAAGGTGTCTCACCTTTGCCTCACCTGCTTCCAAGGCACCGCCTGGATTAGTAGGGCCAGGATTTCTTGTGTTTCCCAGGCCCAGTTGTGGAAACTGTAGGGGAAGTGTTGTATGGTGAAGTGAGCAGAAGGCTTATTGTAGACCCTACTGAAAACACCTGAGACCTCCTCGGGCCTTGAGTTGACACCTTCCTCAAGCTAGTAGTCAAGAAAAAGAAGTTGGTAGAGAATACAATGTAGCTTTGAAAACTGAGAATCTGCAAAAGCCAATCAATTGTTTTAGACAAAAGGAGTAGTAATCTAATTTTTATTTCATTCTGGCCTGTAGATAA